AGAGAGAGAGAGAGAGAGAGAGAGAGAGAGAGGGTTTATTCTATGACCTCTTCGCGTGCCATCACTTATGTTTTATCTATCTTATTTACATTAAACGCCCGACACATACTCGAGTCACTCCAACGATGTGCGAGTAACAAGTAACGTTTTAACGATGTCTTATTGACGTTAAGACATCATTAAGACATTAATAAGCTATATAATAAACTATGGATGTTACCTTATTTCTTGAAATACATTATGAAAGATTTCCAATTCATTTGTGAAAATTCCAATCTGCAGAAGACAGTTTATTGCAATAATACGATCCTACACGAGAAAAATGATGAATACCTTAAACAGCATCAACTGTACAGCAGTCAAATTGAAAATAACCTTGTTAATTCAATAATAATATATTAATGAAACAAATAACATTTTATTAAAACAAGAAGTGGCGTTCTGTTATTGAATGAACATGAGATTATTTTCAATTTATAGACTGTTGGCTAATGCTGTTAAATCAATATATTTTATATATGATACTTGACACATTACAGATTCCAAACTCCACGATACCGTTTCTCTATTAACTTTGTTTCTTCAGTAATGAGAGATCGTGAAATCTGATCGATTATACGAATACTTATTAAAATACTTGGGCTACGATCCACTTATAATTAGTTACTGTAAATGCTTTAAAGCATTTTTTGATTAATCAAAGAAATTCTATTGATTGATCAATCAAATACTTCGAAGCAATTGTAGCATCAAGTAAATTGCACCCTAAAGCCTAGTTCATACTCGTTTCATCGTGATTGGCTAAAGTAGAACTATCAACTAGCAATCCGTAGTGTGATTGTGGCTTTATATCTGTTTCTAGCAAGATACAGATTAATTATCTTAATCTTAATCTCGGTTCACTTTACATAAACTTTATCTTTTTCTAATTCTTAGAATTGGAAAAAGATGAACAGTAAGTTAAACCGAGATTAAGTTAATTTATATTGGCGGAAACAGGCATTAGTCGTTTGGAGAAAGATCTGAGGCTTTCTAGTAGCAAATTTACTTTCACAATTGTCAATCTATTGTTCATTAATCTTTCGACGATAACTTTTTCTAACTGTTCGTTTAATAACAGTTTATTTGTATTATTCGGCTGTACTTCTCTCCTCGTTGGCGAGGCGAATAAATGCCAATCTTTGCATTTCCTTTGTGCGCACTGCGCACTTGTGCTAGAAACAATGCGCTTTCTCACGATGCACTGCAGAATTCTTAGCGAGTTTAGCGTTGGCCACGCTGTATATACTACTTCGGGGAGCACGAGTGGCATAAGTGCATACACAGCGCATTCTACTTTCGTATGATCGCACGCGACGATTTGCGTGTCTCAATAAAACAGAGACATTCGCTCTCCCTGCATTTTTAACGCTTGCCTTCTTATTCGTTCTCGATGAGCGAATATCAGAGAGAAAATGTTACTCACTAACGTTTTCTTATCCCAGCAAATGAGAATGGATTAAAATGGATTGAAATTTTTTTCTATCCGAATGCATATTTTAAATAGCGGATACTTTTTTTGGATTTAATTGGATTCAATTGGGTGCAATTGAATTGAAAAACTACATTTCCTATTCAAAATTTTGAATTGAATTCACAATGTGTGTATTGTGCACAGAAAAAGCTAATATTATTTTTAGGCTTAATATTATTTTGAAAGGCATAAAGATATGCTTCATGCAATTCCTATAAATGAATAAAAATGCATTCAGGATTGAAAAGCATTTATTTTAACATTCGTCAATATTTCTGAAAATCTGAATCCATTTTAATTCATTTCAATCCATTCTCATTTGTTGGGATGTCAGTCAATCTCGTTATTTCTTTCTGAGATCGTTTAACATTACATGATCGCACTGAAAAAAATGATATTAATCACGTTATGATAATATTAACAATATTATTCTAATTGAAATTAATTTATAAAATTCATTAATTCTAATTAAAAAAGAATTGTTGAATTATACTGTCATTGACAAAGAATTATACTAATTATAGATAAATTATACTAATTATATTGATAGATTGTCAAAAGAATTATACTGTCATTGAAAGAAATCTTGTTAATTCAATAATTTTATTAATGAAGCAAATATGTCATACTCTTATTTGAGTAAGATGTTATTTGTTTTGTTAATATTGTTATTGAATTAATTAAGAGCTGAATTAATTAAAATTACTTTCAATTAAACTAACACTTAATAAACTTTATTCTTTTCCGTGTCATTTCGGGATTCGTTCTATCTGTAATATTTAATCAGGAATTCGTAAATAAGAAAAAAACATGAGACAACATTTGAGAATTTATTTATGATGATTCTACATTGAAAAAATATTCTAAATTTTAATCAATTATTTTGTTTGAATAGTACTAGCTAAATATACAGATATACTTGGACAGGAATCGTTAATTTGATTTATGATGAACTATCTTTTTTTATTGCAAATAAATTTTAATTGGCACTATTAAAAAAAAAATATTTATTAAAATTTAGTACATGTTTTCTCAGTGTATTATGAATCGATGAAAGACACAGATAGTCTCAGAATCTATTTCGCGCGAGCGTGGAAGAAGAAATCGACGATACTCTTCGATTCAACTGTGATTCTTCCCTCGATCGTACGGCCCTGACTTTACCCATAGTGGGGGCAGAAGAAGCGGAGGCAGAGGGTGTCGGTCGTCAGGTCGGCGCAGCGGCGAACAGTGGCGAGCGGACTCGTACATCAGCTACGAGTCGAGACTCGAGACTTGAGGCGAGCTGGCGAAAGCGTCACAAACGCGTTCGTGTGTTGTCGAGGAGTTCGCGGAGATTTGGAAAAAAAAAACAAAAACGTACAAGAAGCATCTTCACCGGAACATTCTAGATCGTGGAGTCATCTTAGGGAACGTCGCCATCGTGTTGAAAAAAAAAACTTGTAAAGAAACTGGTTTGCACAAAAACTCGCAAGTGACAAAAGACTTCTCTGTGATCATGGAAGAACCTCCCTATTTGTCGTGGGGTGACTAGTATCAACTAGCATTGTTTCCTGGTGAAGTGCCCGATTCGATTGTGATTGACGGTACTTTGAAGAGCACCTCGCGAGAGCATCCGGAAGGACGGATGCCAACTATTGAACGGAGATGCACGTGTGTCGCGAGTCGCGATGCTCGCCGGGGGTAGGACGAGCCGTCTCGCTCTAAAAAACAAGCGTGACATGCCAACCTTGATGTCAACCTTGTTGAACTTGGAAGGAGTGACACGGGCAATCGAATCAACGGGAACGAGAATCTCTCGTCTAATATCACCGCAATTTCCTGCGTCGTCGCGTGGATGGTAGACTCCATTCCTGCGAGTTTCGCAGTCCTCTTCCCGATTGTTAAATCTGAACCAGATAGTATCGGTTCGATACGTCGGCGTCGCGACGTCGGTGACGTTTGAAGAAACTTGGAATCGCTCTACAGTCGTATCATTATCTAGTCGATCTAGATATGACGACACCGAATGCACCCCTAGTTGCAAGATCTCGCGATTGCTCCCGGAGAAGCTGCAAACCGCCACCGCGATCGTCGACGACCCTGAATGCGTTCGAAAATGTAATTCTTTTCCATGAAGTCTTCGAATTACGACAGTCGTCGACGCTTTTTCGTCAAGCCGATGACGGGTTCTACGCGGAACGAAGCTCGCGCACTACTGATTCCGTAGAATTCCAATCGTCATCGAAATGTTACCGCCGAGTATAATCGACGTGCAGGGCGCCATACCGCGCGATGTGACGACAAACAGTCGCGGTCTATTGTCGGAGACGATGTGCGGGACCGAGTTGCGCTCCGCCGAGGTGGCGGCGACCAGCTGCCACGTCGCAAGATACCGCGAGGAGTTCGACGAGACCATCCGCACCGTCTCGGAACCGGAATGTTCGAAGCGGAGGATCGATTCCGCTGGGACTGGCAGCACCAGGTCGGTGCCAGACGGCCGGTCGCGTCAAGGCTTTTCCAAGGGCTCCGCCTCTCTGCAAAGCCTTGTGCGTCGAAGAAGCCGCAGGCACGGCACGTCTTTACCCTCGGAGGTAGAGCTGTCTTCGAGGCAGGTCATCTACCCTACCGTCCCCTCGGATCTCCTCAAGGACATCGGCGGCGGCGGCTCGGCGATGTTCCGGAACGAGGAGGAGGCACGGACCGCAACGCCGACCTCCACACTCATTTACGCGACTTCCTCGGCGCAACCGTCGACCTCCAGGACCGACAACAATCTGGCCCAGGACGTCTCCACGTCGGCCAGCAACGTGGCCACCACCACGGGTAGCAACATCACCTCGACGACGAACGGCGGCCGCTTCGGCAACGTGCCGGTCTCGTTGGCGAGAACGACTAGCGTCGTCAAGGCACCAGGCCCCTCTATGTCCTCTTCCTGGAACAACTCCGGCGAGCAGGAAAGCGACTACGTTGTCGATCCCGTGCAGGGGAACGCCTACTACAAAGGACAGTTTTTGGGAAAGGTATACACGCGAGATTTCCTCGGATCTCGTTTAAGTCTGATCTGCAATATATTTCTTGCTTCACACTTTTTATTTCGTGCTTTTTCCTTCTTTGCGACCATTTCATCGATAATAATTTTTTTTTCACCTGTTTCTTGCCTCTTCCCAAGTTCGTCAATTTTTATCTCGGGCGACAGGAAAGGAAGAAGGTAAAAAGGATGAGAGGCAAAAAGGCAGGAGATAAAAAATGGTATAAAAGCGAGAAGCAGAAATCAAAGAGCGTAAAGCTGGATTAGGCTTTAGTTTAACATTTCCTACTGACAATTGTAGAGATTTGAGTAACGAGTATTTATAACTTCCCCCACGCCACTCAGCAACGACTAACGAGTGACCTGTCGCACCTGTCGTTGGCTCGTGTTGCGCGCCGATCGCATTGTCGAGGTCCCGTTTTTCGCGCGGCGAGGAATGGCATCCCACGACGAGTACGTGGGAATTGCGGGGTTACAGCTCGTTTAGAGCTGGTCGTGGTCGACCTTCTCTGGCGTTTGATACCGTTCTGTGTATTGCCAACGCACGCACAGGCTCGTCGTTTATGATCCTCTTCAAAACCTGTCACCCGACAATAAATCAGTCAGCGCGATTGGCCGCGCCGTGTAATCCTTATTGTTTCGCCGGTGCAAAACGACGCTTGCTGCGGCTGATTACGTGATTACCATTCACCGGAGAGAGACGAGCGTGTGAAGGGAAGGAGAAACCAATGATTGTCGTGTCACGTCGAATTGATCGGAAATGCAAGGTGCGGACGTGATTATCCGGCAGTAATTATTCCCATTTTTTTCGCTCGATAACACTAATTTACAAAAAATTGTTTTTCTTAATTACTTTAAATTAGATAAGGTGTTTCTTATGGATTTTTCAATGCTGAAAATAATGTTACAAGTTAAATTTTAGAACATTAGGTTTCCGAAGTATAATTGAGGTTTAGTTTGTCAAAAATTGCTTTTTTGTTATATTTAACATTTTTTTTGTAAAAAAGGTTATGTTTATTTCAATATCTTACTTTTTAATCATGTTATAAAGGATTCAAATATACAGTTTTTCTAAGATAGTAAATTTTTTTGCTTATGACAATGAAGTCATACTTATAATTTTTATATCGAAATAAAAGAAAATATTTTATAAGGGATGAACAATATGTTTGTGATTTTATAATTGTCGTTCATAATTTTAAGATAAAGTTAACCTTTACAAAAAATATCGTAAAAAAGCCATTTTTGGACACTAATTATTTTGGAAATTAGACGTGCTGGAATTTTTTAGCTTACGGCATCGTTTTCAGTATTTAAAAATCTACAAGAAACATCTAGTCCGAAGATTTGAAATAATTTTTTATTGCAAACTAGTGTAATTCACCTTTGCTATTATATTCTATAATTTTTTATAGCAAAGTCGCACGCGTTCTTCACGGTGTGCATTCTTCACAGCGCGCGTTCTTCATAATGACGATATAAATCATCGTTATGCAAAATCCGCGAGATTAAACCGCTTCCAACCGCGACCGCGCGATCGCACGTAAAGGCAGGAATTCACTCGAGCGATTTAATTTTCGCACAATCAACCTGCGAATAATTTCCTCAAGTAAATAATGCATGACCGAATTAATGCGTGATGAGTCGCGAGATTCATATGGTCGGGTCGAATCATCAACCGCGGAAACTTGCTTGGGATCGCGACTCTCAGAATTAATATTTTTCATTACATGGAAATATTACGTGGGTGCAGCTACGTAGAAATGGAGTGTAAGCGGTGAGTCACAAAACGGGCTCGTTTTCGCATACCGGGAATTCTAAGGGAGAAATACCGGCGATGTCGGTGACGACTTCGGCGAAGAGCGATGATTCAACAAAGAGACTTTCTCTCTGGGCCCCAAATTATCTCGAACGCTTAGATTAGACCATAGACTTTCGAAGGTACATCAAAATTCGCCGCTTTCGTCCGAGATTATTCTACACAAACAGGATATTAATATCGGAGCATTTTAAACTCGCCTCGTGTTTATCGAGATAAAACGTTTTTACCGGGATTTGCGAGATGCAATTCCACGAGAATTGTAAAATTTTCGAAGAGAGTGATTCTGGTTCTCTTTCTTTTTCTCTTCTCTTCTTGACGCATCGTGATGCAACTGTGGAACTCGCGCACGAAACGAAGCTACGGTTTAAGGATCGCATGTAGCGTGTAGCACAGTTTGTACGTGGCTGGCATATAAAAACGAGACATTTAAAGTCTCACTGGCTTATCGACAACGATTCTTTTCTCCCAAAGAGATGCGTTCGGTCAAGTCATTGACTTTACATCATGCATAATACATCGATGGTAGTCCAAGATCAACGACTTCGTCAAGGTCGAGTATTCTAATTGCACACTATAAAAAAAATTACATGCAAAATTACAACAATTAAAATATATAATTTTTGAACTTATATACCATTAAATAAAGTGTACGGTTACACACACACTTAAAGTAAAGTCACAATTTACAAATAAAATTATTCTTCTTTAGGGTAATTAAACGGTTTGTAAAAATAAATTTATCAATGGAGTTAATTTTATAGGAATTTAAGTATTAATTCATCAACGAATTATGTATAATTTTTTTTTAATTATATTATTGTTATATACACGAACATAAAAATGCAAATAATAATATATATATGATTACCATTATGTTATACAATATCATAAAAATATATATACATTTATAGAAACAAATAAAATATACTGTTATTGTAATTTTCTGTTTAATATGAATATGATATATATTTGCACAATTAAAGGTCTCATTTTTGTAAAAACATATAAATTTTTATATTTTTATTATAAATTGTATA